GTGCCGGGCTTGGTGGAAAGCAGCGTTGTGAATTATGCGAACCCCAGATCTACGAGCGCAAACCCCTGAACAACAAAAATCGTCCGCACATTCTTTTAAAAAGCATTCTTACATTATCCCACCAATTATCATGTCGTCTGGCGAATCGTTCGAGGGGCACTCACAATCGGAAATGATCGCTTTAGCTGCTGATGATGAGAAAGCCATCCTGAAATCTCTCTTTGGGGACATAGAGTTGAAAAACTGATGTAAAGAAACAGATACCCTGATCCACCTGTCGGATAGTCGTATCCGTCGCGGCCCGATGTTGAAAAACCATAACCATACCGCTCACCTATTATCATCTACAAAGTGATTCAATTGTTTAAATAAGCACCAACTGACTACAATACGAAAATTCTTGGAAGTACCTTATCTTTGCTATCGTAACATGACAAAAGCTGCAACAGCCTAGGAATGCTAACCAACGTATCATCATCAGCGATGAAAAGCCAAGAAAAATTCTCACTCGCATTGCTCTCATTTAAAGTGCGAACAAACCGTCTTAAAATCACAAATGTCTTACCACAGTGCCCTGCAAATCACCATATAGAAAAGCGCTTGGATCCCGCGTCAAATTACCTCTCTCTGTGTTGGGCACGCCAGAGTCGATCGTAGGAATACTTCTGTTTGCTACATTACTGTAGAATTCGATGAAAGGCAATGATGCACCCCATGTACGTTTGACGATAGGCACTAAAACTATACAACTGCAATATATATTACATATACACTGGATCATTATATAATCCAAAATGAAGATAAGTGAGGTAAGCAAATTGTTTGACATCCATAAGTAGACCTCATGAAGCTGATACATTAATAGGGGCAAACCTTTCATAGAACAGAAGTGTTGCAGAACATAGTGTTCTGGAGGGTTTTACTAATGTCATAGAATGATATCTGAAGGCTTCCATCGTCAAATCTCCGAAAATTAGAGGAGTAGGAGATGTTTGATTTCAAAATTGTTGGACGCAGTCGACAAAAATGTGGAACACAAAATTACCAAACAAGCTGAATGGAGGTGATACGGCAATGACGAGTCAAGGCGAACGGCGAATTGGATAGTATAACAAAATAAATTTAGTGAGGGTGCTGCGAATAAATAATACACCTCGAGTATCATGATTTCCAATGTAGGTTTTGACAGCAAACAATACCTTCTCTGGGGTGAGTAAAATTGGCGAATCGCAAGGCACAGTCTAAAAATAAAAAGACCGGTAGATACTAGCAAACTGTAAAGCTCAAAACCCAGTTGTGCACTGACTGAGTAGAAAGGAGGCCTACCTCATAAAATATAGCACATCCATCTCTTTTGGTATAACAGAAGAAATCAGGGTAAGAAGATAGCTGCGTCTTAGTTCGCTTGAGGATGTAAAGCGCTACCTGAACTATTGTGATATGAGGGAAACGTTATTCAAGAAAGTAACTTCATTATTCTCTGAATCTGAAAAAATGGAACGGAGAAAATATAAGATTTAATAGTAATAGTGTCTATATCGTTCAATGGTCATTACCTCATGCTTGACATCTATCGAGAATGAACTCAGAGTCGGGTTTGAGGGGGATTCCACAGAATTTGATAGCCTGGAATATAACTTTAATGAGCCCAAAGCAGTAAAAAAAAAAACGATTTCATTCATTGAAGGTACAAC